TACACACAGTAGCCCATGGCAACCCACTGCAGCAGGGGCTGCAGCCTACACCATCGCCGGCGACTCTTGGCAGCCCAGCTCCAGGTCGAGCTATTGTCCAGCATCTTAGCTGTAGAGGGCAGTGTCACTGGCCCTCATATGTGGGATCTGAACCTGGGCCCTCTGGCGTCCCAAGCCAGCTCTTAACCAACGCGCCACTTGGCCGGCCCATGGAACAGGCAGTCTTGTTGTTAGGAGCATGTGCTCTCACCAGCTGAGACATCCTGCCACCTGTTGGCAGCTCAGTGGCAGCTCACTGGCCCATGTGGGAATCGAACCGGTGGCCCTGTTGCTCAGAGCTCTCCCTCTTAAGCTAACTCTTAACCAACTGAGCCACTCGGATGGCCCTGTATGTTATTTTTATAACCAGAAAATAGTTCATAAAGATAGTATATGTTAAAGGGAGAGGCTCCTCGGGTGTAGGAAGATGAAGCTGGGTATGACCGGAAGTCAGGCGACTTTGTGTCCACTTAACACAGACTGTTCCCTTTCATGAGGGAATTCAAACCTCCTGCCAGCTGGAGTAGTTACTATCTCAATTCAGGGCTTCACATGGGAATCTTCCACCCTGATGTGCTTTTCCTCAGTAACACACTATCAATCTGTCATCCATGAATTTCGCTAAACTATTTCTGAAGCTTGTTTCATTCTGGTTCATACCATCTCCTGGAATAAGTAATTGAATGCATGCCCTGCTGGCTATGTAAGACAGCACTCCGTGTTTCTTTCTAACGACATGTCTTTAAAGTTTCAGGAGACCTTCTGTTCTAATATTTGATCAACACATTTTCCGTGTCTTCTTCTGTTATTGGTGATGCTTCGATAGCTATTGATCATAGCCACTTAGAGAAAATTTTACAGATGGAAGGAAGCCTAGAGATCATGATGGTGAAATTCCTTCTTTTTTTGAAAGTATCCCCTTGATAGCATTTATGAAGGTTTATTTTGGTTTTACTTGATCACTTCTAATGACAGCTGTAAGTGTAAAAAAATCTTCCTTTTAATCTCCAACCTGCACATCACTGTCCATCACTCCCTAACCATTTCCATCTAGTGGTCCTAGTTTCAAATCCTTTACCCTATGATAGCTGTTTAAATGTAGCTACCGTTTCCTTGCTTTTATATACTAACAAGTAACTCTTTCTGAAATGACCTCTCATAGGTAGTGTCGTTATCTTAATCTCTTGTTGCTGATTTTTATCCAGTTTCTCAGTGTCCCTTTCAAACACAACGGCCCAGATAGGTGCCTATGAACTGAGGGTACTGTGTTTCTCTCTTCCCTCTACCTAAAATACTTTCTTCCGTTTCCCTGACTGGAATCATGGATTCATCTCTCTGGACCTTGCTCACATGTTACTTACTTCCTTTTTAAAGCTGTGTTTGAATCCTCTTAGCAAGCTAGGGACTATCGTCTCTGTAAGTTGCTACCACTTGGTTCATTTACCTATGCCTGTATCCTATTGGACTGTAAATAATATGTCTACCTCTTTTCCTAGACTATTCGTCATGGATCAGGGAAAATAAACAAATAAAATGTATTGACACATATACACAGTATAGCTCTTGAAACATAGTAAACACAATAAAATTCAGAAAAGATATAAGTTAATATTTAAAAATAGTTAATAAAATGACTCTAATTCATTCTTACTTGAATTCACAGAAGGACAAGTTTCGTATCTATGACGAATATTGTAGTAACCACGAGAAGGCACAAAAACTGCTGCTTGAACTGAACAAAATTAGAACAATCCGGACATTTCTTTTGGTAAGTATGTATTTATGTGTTAACACACTGTGATGGGTTGATAAGCCCAGTAAGAGCCAAGGAATAGCATCAGCGTGATATAGAAACTGCTTGTGGGACAAATCTTTTAATGCACTCAGGCTAGGAAGCTAGAATCCTTAGATAAATGTAGGCAATGAGAACTGGGAGAAGCTTGTGTATGGGGACACAATGATAATGTGTCCTGGTCAATTATGAATTGTTTGCGAAACCCAGAGCTTCCTACTGAGGGAGGATACTTATGCCAGAGTGCATCGTTGCTTTTATATCCCTTACTCCCTAGGGCTTCATTTACTTCTGCTAAAAAAGCTATAAGTAGGGCAGTAACAGGAAGGAAACAAATCATGGGGAAGGTAGAAAAGAAATTTAAAGATTGTTCTTTCTCTTACATGCTTTCCTTATTCAGTTCTCATAAAAAGAGCAAGAATGTGTATTTAATTTCTTTAGGATCACACAAATAGATGCATATTTTGGCAGTTACTTGGACAATTTAATTGGCAGTGAGGAACACACTGTACGTGTGGAATTCACTGGTATTTGGCAGACTGTGGGGAGAAGCAACCATCCCCATGACCCAGTTTTAGGTCCTTTCCACCCCATCCCCCCGCCCCAAAAGTCCCTCATGCTTGTTTCTAGCCCATCTTCACTCCCACCATTAGCTCCAGGTAATCCGTTGATTTGCTTTCTGTATCTATAGTTTTGCCTTTTCTGGAGGGTTCGTATAAATGGGACTATTCAATGTAACCTTTATGCCTGGCTTCTTTTACTGAGTAAAATGCTTCTGAGTTTTATACTTGTAGTATGTATCCATATCGCGCTCATGTTAGTGCTGAATAATAGTCCATTGAATGGACATACTGTACTTTGTTTACCCATTTGCCAGTTTACGAATATTGAGTCAACAAGTGGCTATGATAGCGATGGACCATGAAGATACTACATATGAAAGGTCATTTCAGAGAGAGACATTTGTTAGTACAGAAAAGTCAGGAAATGCCCTGTTTGGGCGATTATAAAAAATGCTGGTATGAACATTCATGTATGAGACTTCATGTGGACATATGTTTTCAATTCTCTTGGATAGATGCTTAGAGTAGAATTGCTGGGTCGTCGTAAGTTTATATTTAATTTATTAAGAAGTTGCCAGAGTGTCTGTGTCATATCCACCAGCAATGTGTGAGGACTGCAGTTTCTCTATGTCATTGTGAACACATAGTATTATCAGTTCCAATTATAGCCATGCACGTGGATGTGTAGTTGTATCTCAAGGGAATTGTTATTTACTATTTTCTAATAACCAATGACATTAAACATGCTTTGATGTGCTTATTAGCCATTCATATATCCTCTTTGGTGAAATGCTTATTCAAAATTTTGTGCATATTTAAATTGCAATGTTTATCTTCTTTTGGGTATAACTTTATTTTGGATACAGCTCCTTCATCAGACATACAATTTGCAAATTATCTCCCCCCAGCGTGGTTTTTCAGTTTATTTTAAAATATTCTCTTTTGAAAATCAAAAAGTGTTAAATGTAAATTTTGTTGAAGTCCAATTAATTATTTTTTTCCCATTATGAACATGCTTTTGTTGTCATATTTAAGACATTAGTATTCAGCTCATATTTATTTCATTCAGTTTATTCCTAAGGATTTTACTCTTTCTGATGCTATTGTGATTGGAATTCTCTTAAATTTTGGATCGTTTATTGCTAATATATAGAAATTTAATTGACTTTTGTATATTCTTGTGTCTTGAATATTGTATACAATATCTTGTATCCTGTGATTTAAATTTATGTATTAGTTCTAGAAGTTTGTGTGTGTATATGTGTAGAATCTTTAGGATATTTTACATATAGGATGATGTCATCTGAGAGTAAAGATAGTTTTTCCTCTTCAGTGTGGTTGATTTTTTTTTTTTCTTTTGCACTGGCTAGAACCAGTCCAATATTGAATAGAAGTGGTAAGAACAGATGTTCCTGCCTTGTTTCTGATATTCAGTGGAAATCATTCTGTTTTTCATCAAGTATAATGTTAGCTGTAGTTTTTTTGGTAGATGTCCTTTATCAGGTTGAGAAAGTTCCATTATATTCACAGTTTGTTGAGAGTTTTTATTATGACCTGTTTTCCTTTTCTATTGTAATATAGGCATTTAAAGCAATGAATTTCACCCTATATACAACTTTAGTTGCATTCCATAAATTTTGACATGTGTTTTCATTTTCATTGTTTTTAAAAAAATGTCTAGTTTCCTTTGTGATTCATTTGATCCATTGTTTATTTATAAGTTTGTCTTGGGAGGGCATTCTCCAAGGGCCTCTTGGGTTGGTGCACTTTTTCTGAGCAGAGGAACTGACTGCCTTCATCCTGGCCTATCTTTTGAATTATGTTTGTATCATGAACAGCCCCAGAAGATAGAGATAATTCTTCCTCAACAGTGGGCAGACATGCCTGCTGCCATGATGAAAGATTCATGTGTCCTAACCTCAGGGCTCCTCTCCTGTTGTACATTTGCATGTGTCACCTGACTCTCTTTCTGTTGTAATGTGGGAGTTGGGGCTTAGGAAAAAGGCCCCCAAATCATGATACTCTGACTACGGCTATTGCTGTGAGGAAAAAACCCCAAAAAACCTGTACTATATCTCTGTCCTAGGAGTTTCATGTGTTGTTCCTGTATCATAAGTCTGGGGCAGGTTAATTTTTTAGTTTGCAAATAAGGTGAAAATCTTAGATTTAGCATAGTTTGAACATTTTTAAAATTTTATTTCCCAATATTGGAATTCTTCAAATTTTTTCCTATTGTTGATTTCTTATTTGAATCCATTCTGGTCCGAGAACATACTTAAGTCATTTAAATCCTTTTAAATTCATTGAGACTTTTTTATGGCTTAGCCTATGGTTTGTCCTATAAGTTATTATTTTTTCTATATGTTCCATGTGTGCTTAAAAACTAAGTACATTCTGCTGCTATGGGGTGTAGTGTTCTAGAAATGTTAGGTCATTTTTGTTAATAGTGCTGTTCGTGTTTTCTATATTATTCCCTTTGGGTGTTCTGTCAGTTACTGAGGGTGGGATTGAAATTTAAAGGTGTAATTGTTAAAGTCTCTGTTCTACCTTCAAGTAGGTCAGTTTTTGTTTTATACGTTTCAGAGCTCTGTTGTTAGATATGTATGCATTTAAAGTTGTTGTATTTATATTTCCATTTATTGTAAAATGTACCAATTTGCTCCCAGAAATATTTCTTTTCTTAAAGTCTATTTTTGCTCATATTGTTATAGCCATGACAGTTCTCTTACTGTGTTTGTATGTTGTATCTTTTTAAATTATTTTACTTACGAACTATTTATGTCTTTGAATCTAAAACACGCCTCTGGTGGACAGCACATAGTTGGATCTAGCATTTTACCTAGTCTGATATTCTCTGCCTGTTGATTAGAATGTCTAGTTCATTTACCTTTAATGTAATATAGATATGGTTGTATTTACATGTTCCTTTTTATTACTTGTTTCTATGTGTCTCTTTTTTTTGTTGTTTTTTTCGTTCCTCTGCTCCCCTTTTACTGCCTACCTTTGTGTTAAACATTTGTAGTATACTGTTTCTCTTCCTCTGTTGATTTTTTTTTAGGGTATCTTTTTTCTTTTTTTGGGGGGGAGGGGTGTAATTGCTCCAGGGACTACAATATGCATCTTAACCTATCAAGTCTATTTCTCTGAGGTTGGATATTGTTTTTTATTTGTTTTATTTTCAATAACTTTCTTAAGTTTAACTTGAGAACCTATATCTCGTGTATGTGCAGCTGCTGCTGTCTCTGCTTAGTATTTTGTCTTATAATTTAGCCTTTTTTTTTTTTAAATTGGGGAATTGGGGGATGGGAACAGTGCTGGGGAATTGGAGGAAGGGGAACAGACGAGTTGCTGTCCTTTTGTTCTTCAGTCTAGTTGTGGAAGAGGTGGCTTCACTGGCCCAAGTTGGCACCATCATTGCGCTCTTCCCGGGCAAGGCAGATCAGCAGCCAGCCTCTGGTCGGCTGCTCACGCTGGCTGCTGGCTACACGCGGTAGCCCATGGCACCTCACTGCTGCAGGGGCTGCAGCCTACGCCGTTACCAGCGACTCAGGGCAGCCCAGCTCCAGGTGGAGCTGTTTGTTCTGCATCTTAGCTGTGAAGGGCAGTGTCACTGGCCCTCATATGTGGGATCCTAACCAGGGCCCTCTGGCATCCCAGGCCAGCTCTTAACCAATGCGCCACTCAGCCGGCCCTAGCCTTTCTTTTTAGGGGTCACTCCTGTGACTGTTTATCTCAGTGACCAGTGATCAGAGGTGATCAAAGATCAATGTCAGTCTTATCTATGGATCTGTTGTGTGAGTGTGCGTGTGGGGGGCATTCAAAGGACAGGCAATTTTCAAGTCCGACGTGGACCTTTCTTCCCAAGGGGCCCCCTCAGTTCTCTGCATGTGCAGTCAGACACTTGCCCCCAGCAAGGCTGCAGTCTCAGGCAAGCAGAATTGTGGAAACTTCCCATTTTTTCTTAAGGAGTGTACTAATTTCATTGACAGCTCCCCTGGTTGGATTTTTGTCTTCTGCAGCCCCCTCTGGCAGCAGGTATTCAGGACCCATGCTACTGTGATAGTGTTACCACGTGGGGGTGAGTTGGGGCAGGCTGGGGGCAGTGGGGAAGTGGGAGAAGTGCAGGCAAGAATGCCACAGACGCCCACGGTTCTTACCAGAACTTCAGCAGTTTTTCATGAATCAACACGTCTCAGTTTATTGTTCGACTTTAGTTGATTTCCAGAACCCTGAAATGGTTGTTTCTGACAATTTTGCCCAGTATTATCTTGTTTTTTTGTGAAGATGGTTTCCTGATCTCTTCTCTCTGCCATGACCCGAAGAAGCGCCTATGCCACTGACATTTTGGGGCTCTTTAGAAAGTGGTAGAATTCTGCTGTCTTATTGAATGCATTCTGTTCTCAGCAGAGTTGACACCATGTTCATCTTTGTCAACTGAATTGTGTGAAGGCACGCTCAAAAAAGTCAGAAGCTAAGACTCTTTGTTTTTAGATGATCTTACAGCATAGTCTGACAGGAGGACCTGGGTTTTATAGTTCTCTCCCTGGCACTAAGGGCCCGCTAATTACCTGCAAGACTTTAGGGAACTCATTATCTCTGTGATGTCATTTTTGTTATCCATAAAATGGGGATAATAACACCCTTTGAGAAACATACAGGAGTTTACAGATTTGGGATGATGACATTATTATTTGGGGTACGTGGATATGCTGCCACCTCAGTAAGTTCTGATGATCAGTGAACATTCTAGGAGCCCATTTAAGGCAACATTCTTTATGTAAGGAGAGAGCTGGCTCTCATAAGGCAGTCTAAAGTGGCAACCAGCCTCTGCTTTCATGAAGAGAGTTCATCATCTGTATGGTACTAATAGACTAGGAAATAAAAGTGAGGCATGAGTTCCTTAGGGCGCTTCAGCTCAGAGGTAGGGAAAGGGGGTGGCCACATTTATAAGGGGTGCTACCTCATATGGGGACGTTGAAACATCACTGGAACTACAATGAGATGTAAATAGTTGTGTTTTGTAAGATTCCTTGCGACAATATATACCGAGTTGAGAGGACTCTTTTGATAACCTGATTGCAAGCGGGGATGGACCCCCTTAAGGGCGTGCTGAATCACAACACATATCTGCTGCTCTGTCTTCTAAGGTGTCTGGGTGAATTGAAAGTCAAGGTATTGGTTTTGACGACTTGTATACACAAATTGGAGCTGCAGCTGAGTTGCTTCGTGGGGGGTTGTTCTGTGACTGTCACTCTTCCTTTTGCATCCTTTCCTGCTCAGCACTTGGTCTGTCCTCTGAATGCATACAGGACAGTATTTTTAAAATAGTGGTAGAAAAGTTGCTAAATTATTACTATGATATTTGAGGGTCCCTGTTATCCTTTCATTAAATATTTATTAACTGCTTGCTCTATGCCAGTCACTCTGATAGGCACTGCGGGAACAGGTTTTGGCACCAATTTCAATTTTATTTTTTAATTGCTGCTTAAACTACAAAACAAAGACTGGATGCTAAGAGGATTAAGGCTTTATTTATCAGAGTTGATTTTTCTCTTGACCATCACTTTCTGGAAAATGGAAGCTTCTATTTCATCTCACTCAGATTGGTGATTTTGAGACTCCTCCGTTTATCTTGCTTCCGTGGAGGTATCTGACCTCCTTCTCTGAGACTGGCTGGCCAGTATCATTGGTGAGGTATTATAGGTAAAAGTGACTTAGAGATCTCTTAGTTAAATATGCCAGGTTTACAGGGAGGAAAACTAGGATTCTTAAATCAGTCCAAGATGCGTTACTAGTCAGTGGTAGAGCATGGATTGTTAGGCCTTTTCTTCTACAAAACAACACAGCTTCCCTTTATAAGCAGGATTGGTCTATCTATCTATCTATCTATCTATCTATCTATCTATCTATCTATCTATCAATCATCTATTATTCATCCAACCATCCACCTCTCCACCTGCCCACCCATCCATTCATTCCTCCATCTATATCTCTATTTCTGTCTTTTTCCTCAGACTTCATACTCAGGAGAATATATATGAATTAATTTCCCAGGTATAGATTTAAAACATATTTTGGTTTCTGGAACTAATATGAAAGGCAAAAGTATTTCTCTTTCCTGTAAATGTTATTTGTGACTGGATGTGATTTTTCTCAGAGAAAGAAGCTATATAGAGACTTGCTTCCACAACTTTTCAGCAGAAAGTTTTATGGTAGACAAAAGATTTACAACTTCCAGTTTAAAAATGTACTTAATTATGTTTATTTCCACCCCAGAACTGCATGCTACTCGGAGGACGGAAGAACACAGATGTCCCTCTGGAAGGATATTTAGTGACACCGATACAAAGAATATGCAAGTACCCTCTCCTTTTGAAGGTATTTTATGTGTTGACTTCATGGTAGCATTTTCCTCGTACCTGCATATTTTGCTCATGATCTTTTTAAAAAACTTCTTTAAAATAGCCTGACATTCTATAGAAAGGTCAGATTGTGGTTATTGGGAGAAATAGCTATTTTGACACTAATTATATAGGGACTAGGAAATAAATCTTTTGGGAAATGAGACTTTTAGGTCTCTTTGTAGGAAACATATGTGTTTGAGTTTCGTTGAGAGTAAATGCATTATTTCCTAGGTAGATCCTATTAAGTCCATTATGGCCAGTTTCTATGGCCCTTTATCTACAAGGTTCTCTTAACAATTCTCTGTTGGTGTAGATTTCCCCTAAAGTTGGTGACTTCTTGATGTTAATGAAGTTAAGGTCAAAGTACATAATTTCAGAGCCTGGTTTTTAAGTCATTACAAGGAATAGTGTGGTTCACATGGGATAATCAATGATAGAATGTGGAATGACAGGGCTAAGAAAGCACAGCCTCGGGAAGATAGGAAATGCTTCAGTAGTGGTTGTAGGTGCATTGTCTCATTACCATGACCAAAATTTTTATTATGAAAAACATATTGTGAAGTGCTAATTACTACTTGTGCTACAAGAGTCTATGAAGAGATTAGAATAGCAATTCCAGAAGTGAGGTTTTTTGAAACTATTACATCGGGAAAGGTGGTTTGGGTGGCAGTTGAGCACATGAGCTCTGAGTTCAAAGTTTGTTTACAGCTATGTGACTGAGCACATAATCTAATCTCTTAATGCCTTGGGTTTTCATTTGTGAATCAGAAAGGATGGTGATGATGATGTTGTTGTTGAAATGATAGCATATACATACAAGAATTTGTATACGTATGTGTATGTATATCTGTGTGTATACATATATATGCATATATAAATTATTACATAATTAATTGAGTGATTTTATATAAATCACTTAACATAATATGTACTCCATAAATGTTAGCTTTTATTTTTCATATATATTCAATGCTGATTTATTTTAATATATTAATTACTACTTGGTATCTAACTTAAAAAAATAACTCAGAAATGCCATGGACGTATTAACTGGTGTTTCTATTGATTTACTTTTTGAGACATAAATGTCATGGATTTGAATTGAAAATACACTTTTCACTACAGTTTTTGTCAGTGGCATAAACTGGATTTCTGTGTAACATTTCTTTGAAAAGAATCTCTCCTTATTGAAAAACAAGTTGAAGTTGCGTGGTTAAGCCAGAGATAGAAGCTAACACAGGGCTCTCCAGTCATGCAAAGCTTTGGCACGGCCTTCAGAGGGCGGGGAGGGCTGGTGCAAATGTGACTCCTGTCTTCCTGAGAGTCCCTTCAGACCCGACGTGGTGACTCAGATGTGCATGTGCACTCATCACGGCAGCTAATGGAGTCCCAGGGGTTTGTTTGTTTTAACAGCCAGAAGGGATGGTGATTTTAAGAGAAGCACATCCATCATGCCAACTGGGTGTTCCAAATCACTCGTTTCTGGATAAGGATGACCTCAGATGTTCCAGCTGACCCCTCAAAAGATAGGCTCAAAGGACACGTCCCTGGTTAGGAAGAGAGAGGTCAATTTAGAGCACTTTCAAGCAGTGGAGAGATGACATCTTTCCCCTTTCTTGGAAGGTTATCTTCGCAAAGATAACATGAAAAAACTAGTTACTGGTGTAATAAATATGTTGGTGTTAATATTTTTCTTTGTTGTACCATTAGCAGAAAAATTGTTCTGGTATTCTCTTTGATTTGGGTTGGTTGTATATACTGAGAGAGAAACAGTAGGGGGTTAGGCTGTGTGTTAAAGAAAAAATATGTTGGTCATATTTGTGGAACTTGAAATTATTGGGTTGGCCAATCAGTACAGGGTTTGTAGCATGTAACCGAGAGAGAGAAGACTATTACTAGCCGTCTCTCTCACTGTCTCACCTTATCTAAATTCATGTCTTGATTCTACCCACAGATACCCATTGGGCCCCAAATCAAAGCCTGCAGATGGACTTGACCCCTTGACATAATTCACAAATATCTCTTCCCTTTAGAACTCCTGGAGAAGCCTGCATATCTCTTTTATGGATGTGTGATCTAGCCTAACGTTTTAAACCCTGTCTTGGGAGTGATGTAATGTGCGTTATTTTGGGGCTCGCTCTGCAGGACCGAGTGTGAACATATTGAATGCAGGCTCAAAGTTATGGCAGAATTTTCAACAATAACAGACCTTGAGAGAGCATCACAACTGCATATTTTCCCACTGTATGTTAAGAATTAAGGAAATTCTTCTCAAGGCTTGGCCTCAGGATTTCTGTAATTGTGTTAGTTACATGATGATGGCAACTGTAGTAAGGAAACAAATGACTAATTAAAAAGCAATGTGGCCACAACCGTCTAGACAGTGGGTGAAGATGTTTAGTTTTGTGCTTGTAAACAGCTAACAAGACCTTTTAATATATTTAAAAGATTAAAGATGACTCTAGTTCTGATATCCTGAATGGAAAAATAAATAAATAAATAAAAAGCCAAAAGAAAATATAAATAAACCACCCAAAAAAACAAAAACAAAATGAAAGCTATTGAGGGGTATATATCAGTCCCTTTATTGCAAAGAGTCAACCTGAGTTATTGGTGAAAACAGCATGAATTGCCCCTTTAATGATGGAATGTTGTGAAATTTATACATCATTTATTTTGCTAGAGCATATTATATAAAAGTTTTGCTTCATTTAGGACATGTTTTTGTAGTTTCTTAAAAATTATTGGGTGATAAGAAATTTTAAACTATCTTATGATTTTTGAAATTATAGGACATATTCATTTAAAGATGTACTTATTCTGTTAAAAACTAGGAAAATGAAATTAGCATGAAAAGATGTACTTCTGTGGGAGCAAAGCAAAACTTATAAAAAAATTACATGCTGCAGGTGAGATATTTGACAATTTGTAAAGAGAAATCTAATCTAGTTTCTGAAAACAAAATAGTCTTGAGGGAAAAATTAAAGAGACTGCAAAATATGTATTAGGGTAATGCTTACTCATTGATTCAGCCTTTTGTTTTTGATCTTAATCTTTGTGATGTCACTTCTGAAAGTGGCTCTCATGATCTTTGCCGTTTTCATTTCCTGGTCAGTCTGAACCTGCTGTACCAGAAAGCTGAAGATCAAAGGGCGATTTGTTTTTTGTGTATAAACAGGAGTTGCTGAAGCGGACTCCAAGGAAACATAGTGACTACGCAGCAGTGATGGAAGCCCTCCAAGCCATGAAAGCTGTGTGTTCCAACATAAACGAGGCCAAGAGGCAAATGGAGAAGTTGGAAGTTTTAGAGGAATGGCAATCTCACATTGAAGGCTGGGAGGTACATTCACTGTTCTCAACAATTGAGCTTAAAATTATGTCCTGTTATGTCTCATGCTACGTGTAGAATTACTGATATTGGATGGAACCAGAAGTGGTTGTTTTCCTAGATAATGCTAGGGGGCTATAACCTTTTCTGAAAAGTGCTGTCATTATTACTTTTAAATATCTTTAAAGTGGCAGTGAGTTGACTTAACCTCAAGCTTTGTGATAGAGCCAGTCGATACTGCATGTGTTATAAGTTTGATATTTCAGTGTTTGTGATATTCAGCATGGTTATCCTATTTTCCTGTCTTAACTTTGGTCAATAAGTACATAGCCTGAATCCTGGAGAGAGAAAAGAAGGGGATTAAGGCTCCATAAGTATGCTGCGATATTAGTTTCAGACTCCAAATTAGCTGTTTGATGATGAATTTCATTTTAAGCCCACTTAATCTCTCTAAATTTGAATTTCTTTATTTCTAAATTGAATGAACTGGCTCTCGTGTGGTTTTTAAGGTCCATTCAAGATGAAAACTTTTATTGGTTCATTATTCATTAAAGAAAGATTTATAAAAATGACAAAAAAGCCAATGAAGAATGCTATTCAGAATCTGCAGTATGTTTTCATCTGTGGTAACTTTGAATTCTAGAGGTTTCATGGGTATGGAGCTCGCTGTTATTTTAGCACGGTAAAAGAATAAACTAAAATTTTCTTTCAGTTGCCTTAATTTAGATGAGCATGAGCTTTTGACTATGATAAATTTTATTCTTATCAAGTAAGCAATTGAGATCATTTTTTTAAAAGTACAAAGAAGTTTTAAAGTTTTTCTAATCAGATATTGTACCACACAAATCCAAGTGGATTGCTTTTATCTTTAGAGCTTTATAATCGACTAATTTGTTTCTTATCTTCAGTATGTTGGTTTCCACTTAGATCTAAAATTATATCCACTCAGATTTGCAAAGAAACCTCAAACATTGACTTCAGGGAATTCTCCTATTTATCCATTCTTCCCCATGAATTTTTTAAAATGCTAACTGGAATCTGACTTTGCTTCCTGCTCATTTATATTCTTCCATTTCAAGTGTCCAGGGTGACCTCCCATTCAGCATGAATGCTACTCATTTCAATCAGTTAAAATGGTTGTGTGTTTTACAGTTGATTCATCATGGTACTTCTTTTTCTGGGGAGTGGTTGTCCTGCTGGGATGAGAAAAATGCACTAAAGTTTGCTTTTGCTGTTCTGTTGTCACTCAGCTATTGGAAGAAAAACCAAACTTGCTTTAAATTGCAGGATTTGTCAGTGATATCGGCCAGGCCTTTTCCCAAAACAAAAGACTCCTTTTTTCGGCACTTTGGGGGAATAGGATCTGTCATAATTTTGTTTCCTCTTTGTGTATATCCTAAAAATTGAGTCTACTACAGAAACAAATGATTATTTAAAATGTGTTGTTTCTTGTACTGTTCATGCCGGTTATTCCAAGGAAGCATGTATGTGAGCCATACTGTGTCATACATACTTTGTCACTTGTCACCCACCAGTCTTCACCTCACCAGCTTTGCTGCGTATACAACTCAGAGTGCAGGAGAAAAATGGAGCATTGAGACAGAGGAAACTGGCTGGAGGAAATCAGATATGACTTCCAGAAATCCAGCAGGCACAGGGGTGATGATATGAATATCGGGTTCCAAAGAGTGGCAACACAAATTTGACTTGAGGAGATTTGAAAATGACTGCGTAAGGCACAGTGATTTGGGAGTTTGGGGACTTTGAGGGACTGCAGTGTGGAGCGGGGCCCAGCCAATTGGCTGACAACTTGTGATAAGAACCTGGTTGCCCGTGTCAGTCCACCACCTTAGCGAGGAAGGGGAAAGCTGTTAGAGTACTCAGGCCTGGTCCCTGCCAGGAAGTTTAGGAGAACCTACCTGATGGGACTGTACAGGTGCACAAGACAGAGGGACATAGTCATCCAGGATGAATCTGGGCCCTGGGAGGGTGTGGGAGTGGTGAAAGAGTTTTCCTTGAATTGCTAACCGGGGTTATTGCTCAGTTTACAGACAGTTTTGTGTATGTTTACAGTGCCTTCCGTGGGGTTAAGACAGGGCCAAGGACAGATGTCGGATGGCATGGCGATTAGAGGACATAGAGTTCCCTAAAGAGTATTTGAGGTTTGGAATCTCGAGCTAATATTGGGAAACAGCTTCCCATGTAGCTCCTTCCATGAGCATCTGCAGACCTTCTCGGACCACCTCGGAGATGCCACTCTTGCTTCAGTAACTAAAATTGTCTTGAATGCAATCTGAGGCTGATACATCATGGATTTGCATTATTTCCACTTCAGGTGGATTATAATTTCAAATAAGCTATTTAATTATCGAGGGTCTTATTTTCTAATTTATCAAATGAAGACTTTTTACAGTGAAATCTCTCAGGCAACGTGCCTATTAGCCAAACTAGAGTTTTTGTCAGCATTTATGTAGTGACTGCCACAGAAGATTTGTAGTTTGTTTTAATTGCTCATGTTTGAAGTTCTACCTTTTATTAATATAATTTGCTATATCTCAGTCATATATCTTATTCAACATTGGAATACTTCCACAGGATATTCTACTGAAGGTAATTATAAAGCAATGATCAATGTGCTTGGAAATTAGCTGCTTAATCAGAGTCATTGATTCATCTCATAGAACAGGACAGTTTTTTGTCTGCTTTTTGGTTGATCAATATAGTATTGTAACGATTACTGTTGTCTTTGGAATCATACTGAATGATATTGACAAGGGAGTATCAATAAACATTATGTCATTTAGTAATTCAGCTTTACATCCTTGATAGGCCTGTTTGGAATTGAGCTCTTAAATCAGGAGGAAAAAAATCATAATAAAAGATAAGAGGAATTATTAACCTATGAAGCTGTTGGGAAAAAATAAGATCCAAGATAATTATCATGTTTTAGGAAGTAAAAAGAAACAATAGAAATTTGACACCTTGATTACAATTTTACATGCAGAAATACAATGCTACAAGACCCTTTTAAAATCACCTCTTGTTGGCTTGGGAATCTGTGGCTTGTGTTTGATGAAGTTTGTGTCTGACAGTGTATTGATTTCAAGTCATGTTCTCTTGTTATTTCATAAGCGATCTGTTTCTTTTTGTCTTCTGTACAAGGAGATTTGGTAGATACAATTTGTCTAGTACCTTGAGGTGGAATTGATGTATAGATTAGTCCTCATTTTTAAAGATAACAGGTTCAGGAAAAAGACCACTGAAAGTGAATCCACTTAAAAGGGGTACCAAAACTTCATAATTAGTGGGAGATGGGGAAAGTTTGGGACATTATCTTGGTTAAATGAAAATGTTTATTATTAGTTTATTTTATCTAACATGTAACAAAATTTAGGTTATAATTTCAGTTAATTTGAATCTCAAAAAGAGTGAATCAAATGCTGAGTTTTTTTTTGGTTAGGGCATGCATTTTTATGACAAAATTATGGAATAAAACAATGTGATGCTCTTCATTTTATGCTTGACTTTCATAGTGTTTTAAAAAGAATTTTTGAAAGAATATTTAAATTACTCATTAATTTTCTCAAGAGACTCCTTTGATATTGAAACTGTCCTCTTATGAAACACCCATCTACTTGTCATTCTTGTCAGTATTCTTTTCTTTTGCTGTGAATGGGTCTACTTATGTTAGATCTTGGTCTGTGTGCTGTATATGAGTGAGAAAGTTTCAAGGCCTCTTGTCATCTTTCATGTTCCCCAAGATTGTGGTTTCCTCTCTATAGTCATAGAATATTTTAAATATTCTTATTTTTATTTTTATTCTAATTAAAGTTTATTGGGGTGACAGTGGTTAGTAAAGTTATATAGGTTTCAGGTGTACAATTCTGTAATACATCATCTATATATCACATTGTGCGTTCACCACCCAGAGTCAGTTCTCCTTCCATCACCATATATTTGATCCCTTTTACCCTCGTTTACCACTCCCCTCCCCCCTTACCTTCTGGTAACCACTAAACTATTGTCTGCTTCTGTGAGGTTTTTTGTTTGTTTTTTTTTGTCTTCTTCATTTGTTGCTTTCAGTTTTATATCCCACAGATCAGTGAAATCATATGGTTTTCTATTTTTTTCTGTCTGACTTATTTTGCTTAGCATAATAATCTCAAGATCCATCCATGTTGTCCCAAATGGTACTATTTCATGTTTTCTTATCAGTCTGTGCTTTTTTTTATGTTGACATACAACAGTAAGTTGACAAGATGAATGAGATAGACCCTGGTGTTAGGCAGTGAGAGCTGATAATAGGTCGGATAATCTGAATAGTTTCTTATTACAATGATTTTTGCCACCTCATAGCTGCAAAAAATCAGTAATGAACCCCTATGTAACTTATATTGAGGAACTTGTTAACGTAAAATAGATTGACCCTTTCAAACAGTCCAGATATGGTTTGGCAATATTATTTTTATGGGGTTTATGGAGTGGAGGAGATTGGTTCTATTATTGCAGTTTTTCATAAATCATGATTTTAATGTTTGAGGAAACATTGGAAATTAGAAAAGAAGCCATAAAATAAATACACATGCTTCTCATTGCCTTTTTTGGCTGAAAGTATCCTTTTCTGAAAGCATACTTTGGCACTTAACAAGTGTCCACTCATGAAATTCATTACGATTCCACATTAAATTCTGTAATGGTGCTTTGAAATGTAATCGTGTTTCGTGTATGCTGACCATAGAATTAGTAGCCAGTTCTATAGTTCAAATTATAGATTCAAATAGTATTCAACTCTCTACAAATGAGATTCTGAATTGTTCCTGTTCTCTTGCTGTACCCTGTAACATGAGGCACACCCAACAGAAAGAGACGCTGTTGGTGAGAAACGCTGCCAAAATGGGCTGCTTGAGGTCCCAGGCTTTATGACTGAAGTCATTGTTTGTCCCATCCATTCAGACGGATCTCTTAGCCATATTGGAAGGTGATATTTAAATGGTGTGCTTCATAAACTTGACAGAGAAAATAACTGGAGAATGACTGAAACCTGAAACCACAGCATGGATTGAGCTGTCTCATTAATTATAAACATGCATAATCATAAACACACGGCCATCCCTGATATTCATCACCGTTATCTCATGCCAACTCTCATTTTTTTAAAATGTTCTGTTATTACAGTGAGCACACTGCATTTCATTTTGTGTTCACATATCTGATTCTTCCACAAATTTCTTGGGAGCAGGGGTCATGTCTGATGCTCTAGGTCCCCAGCATCTAAGATTCAGTGGTACATGTGGGGTTGAATGGTAATGAAATGTAGACATAATTACACTGTAGCTATGCATTCATTGTTAGTGCCCTCTCACTATTTTTAGATACTCTTGGCTTGTTTGGTGAACGGCAGTGATTCTGACCTGGTTCCATTTAGATTACAATATCTATTTCATGATTCTGCTCCTTTGATGTTCTCTAATCCTCTTTAGCACCCTGTTCTGGTTTATGGTTCACAGATGTACCGTGAGATTTTTCACTTCCTCATTGTTAGAGTTGAACATCCTGCAGTTGTTTCAAATTCAGTCTTTGTAAAGGTATTTCTGTCGTGCAGGTTCTGTTTCTTTTGTGAAATGGACACGTATGGGTGGGCGTCCCTCAATGGATTTCACCCCTTTGCACTGCTGGCGCAGTGGTGATGGAGGAATGATAAGATAGGTTTGCACAGCTTGGAGTAGAAAGAGAGAAGCTTCTGGAATGAGAGGGGCCTGGATGAGTATGTCTCCCACCACTGATCACAGTTATTTATTGATGATTACTTCTTACCTTGAACTATTCAGTCAGCCTTCTTTGCCTGATCTAATAAAAGCAACCAGGCTTAGAATTATCCATGTAACTTCCTAGCTGGGGTTTTACTGTATTTAATTCTCTATATATAATTCATTGCAAACAAACAGTCTCTGATTTTACATAATAAATGTAGCTGCTTTCTAAAGGGAAATTGCATTGAAAATAAATCATCTCAATGATAAAAGTATATCGCTTTGGTTATATTTTAGAGAATTGCTAAAAGACAGCAGGACTATGAATCATATGGGTAAAAAAACATTATTTAAAAGTATCTGCATTAAATATGTACGTATACACATTACATTACATGTAATGGCTTTAGGGCAGTTCAAAATTAATGATTTATGCAAAGCCCTCTTATTTTTAAAAATTTACTCTTTCCACCTTACCTCTCAAATGTTGGTTTATGACTGTGGTATATCACTACACTTAAACTAGTTGATTTTCACGGGTAGCATTTTTTTCCCCATCACAGTTTTTTTCACAGACCACAATCTCCTTCCTTTGACGTCTACATGGTGACCCATGAAACAGTTTACAAAGTTGATTTAATTCAATACACATTTTTTTCTTCTTCTAAAACTTTAGGAATAGAGAGACCAGCTTGCTAGAGATTAAATACCAGGAGAAAATCTTTAACACATTGCCTGACATGTTGTAGAAATGTTAAAAACCTGACTTCAGTATTCATTTAGATCAAAGTGTTATTACACATGGTCGTTCAATGACTAAAGATGTATTTGCGAAAGAATAAATATCTCAATTTCAAAAATGAGCATCAGTGTTCTAAATGAAGATAAAATACTCACCGTTAGAGTAACGTTATTAACGCAGATTTAAGTGAATATTCAGTGATGATGAAATACACCATAGGGGTGAAAATAATGGTAGGTGTACGTGTGACCGTGTGACATGTGATAAACACCTCTTCTGCCCTGGGCCCTGGGAAGCAGTCAGGACTGCCTCAGGCTCAGACCTCTGCTCCCCTAACTGAAATGTGACTGTCATTTGATGACATACCTTCCAGGAGCTTTCTGGAGGAGAGATTTTGTTGTTGTTGTTCCTAACCCACTTAGCTCAGACCCTTAGGAGTGGGTGTGTCTCCCTTTAGTTGTGTCCTCTAAACTGACCACGATGAGACTGGAAGGGAAGCAGCCCTCAATTCAGTGTGTAGATATTTGAACTTCTCTGCTGCCTATCTATTGCCTCTTAAAAATAACAACAAGTTTGCCTTGAAGGAGAAAAAGAATTACACGTGACCGTTTCTGTGCAGTAATCAGATATCATCTCCATTTTCCTCACCTAGGGGTCCAACATCACCGACACCTGCACTGAAATGCTCATGTGTGGCGTCTTACTGAAAATTTCTTCTGGAAATATTCAAGAACGGGTGTTCTTTCTTTTTGACAACCTTTTGGTGTATTGCAAAAGAAAACACAGGTAAGATGATAAACAGGTAACACTTCAGGAATTGTTTATCCATCTCACAGGTTCCATCTTGTCCCTTGTGGTCCTAGGAACTCACGATCTTGTCAGTAAACTTCCACACACTCAGCCTCTTCTATGACTTCATCTTATAAAACATAACTGAAGGGCATCCCAGTTTCGGGTACCCCCTCTCGTAAGAGAGCTGTATTTTCGCTTCACTAAAAATCTTTGCTCCTCTACTCTCAGAAAAAAAACAAAACAAAACAAAACCTAACTGAAGTGTGACTGTCATTCGATGACACTACCTCCCCAAGAGCTTTCTAGAGGAAAGTTTTTTGTTGTTGCTCCTAGCCCACTTAGCTCAGATTCTTTCGGACAGGTAGGTGTGCTCTCTGTTTCCTAATGTTGCTCCCCAGCCACCCTCGTCTTCCTTCAAACATCCCAGCACGTGTGAAATTCATGCCCTTAGTCCTTCCTGCCCATTAGCTTCCCCTGTGCAACCCTTTTCACAGAACACTTCACATCTCCCTGCCACACATGAATTCAGGGATTGCGTTAGCTCTTATATCCCTTTTTTCCCCACCCTATTTCTGTCACCATTTTTTTTTTTGCAGATATTTTATTGGGGAGGAGTGTGTCTTTCCAGGACCCATCAGCTCCAAGTCAAGTAGTTGTACTCAATCTAGTTGTGGAGGGCACAGCTCCCTGGCCCACACGGGAATCGAACGGGCAACCTCGGTGCCATGAGCCTGTGCTCTAACCACCTTAGCCAACTGGCTGTCCCTGTCACCATTTTTTGTGTGTTCAGAACTCATATGGAAGATCTATACAATATTTGGACCCGGAAACCCACATATTCTTCACCTGCAACAGTATCCTCTTTCATGACCCCTGAGCCACCTGTGTGTGCTTATTCCTTTACTTTGTTGAGACTAGCAGTTATAAAAATTGAAATCTCCATTGTCAACATCCCAGTCGGCTCCACTAAGCTCAAAGTCAAAGTCACCACTGACCTTTACGTTTTCTAATGAAGTGGTCACTTTTCTGTTACTTAAAGGTTTTACTTGTTTTCTCAGCAGTATGTAAGCATAGGGGAGCCCTTCCTCCTTAAAGCACTTTACTTTTGTCTAAAGTGGAGAGTATAACGGTGGAGCAGTAAATGAGGGCCAGTTAGGAGAGACTGGTGAATTGGACTAGGGTAGGTGAAGAGATGTGGAGAGATTTTTATGTTTTACATGTAGAATCAATAAGATTTTCTCATGGACTGAATGTGGGAGGTTGAGGACAAGGGAAGCGCCAAGGCTGACTCCTAGGTTTTGGGAGCAAGGAAATCAGTGAATGGGGAAAGCTGGGAGAGGAACAGTTTTAGGAGAGGAAATAAAAAATTCTGCTCTTCCATGTTGCACTGGCTATTTCTTCATCCTCGTATGCTCTTCCGTCTGAGTTTTTTGTGGCTGGATTCTTTATGTCTTTCAGATCTCACTTAAATATCACTTCCTTAGAAATATCTTTCCTGATCACCCCATCTCAGGCAGCCCCCCAGCCATTCTCTATCATTATCTGGAAAGGGCTTGCTGATGTTATCTCCGTTATTTATGTGTTTACTTCCTGCCATCTTTACAAGATTAGACTTAAGTCCATGAGGACAAAGGTCTCCTGCGTTTTCATTGCTATTTCCTCTGAGACTGAAGCAGCCCTGCCACGTTATAGACACTGGAGAAATCTTTGTTGACTAAGTGAATAAGTGATTGAATGAATGAAACCCAAACAAGTCTTTGGTATAACCTAGCCATCATTAGTTTAAATTATGTTATGTATTATGTATTATGGATGTAATGTTGTTTGGAGACATGGATATAAGTAATTTATTTTTTCCAGAAGGTACTTATCGATAGGATGTTTTCTTGAACTCCTGGGAAAAATTTTTGCAGGTTGGTTCAGCAAAATAGTAAAGTTTAACTTAACTGGGAAGTTTCCTGAGCCTCTCTGTGCTTCTTCTTGACTGTATTTAGGACATATTCATTTCAGTGAAATGGTACCATGTACCTTCATGAAAGGGAAGAGGTTGGGATTAGAGCCGAAAGTTGATTAAATTGTCGTCATCTTTGTCTTAACGAGCGTTTTGAAAAAATTGCTCTTTACCACATGTGAAATGAACCTGTTTATTTTTTCTAGTATGCTTTTCTAATTTCTTTGTGTCTGGTAGCAAGATTAGGATTACTAGAAATAGGCTTTTGAAGCTGTAGAAGGGGCTGTTAATTTTACTTGCATATAACTCATTAAGAAACAATAGTGTATTCAAGTTGTTTAGGTACAGTTATTTTCTTCCAGCTTTATTGAGGTATAATTGACAAACAAAATTGTCAGCTATTTAAAGTGTACAACATGATGATTTGACATACATAATACATTATGAAAGGATCCCCCCCTCATTGAGTTAATTAATATATTTAGGTGCAGTTGTTAAAAGCACCCATTTGAGAATGAGATCTTTTTTTATAACAGTTGACCTAATAATAAACTCTTTTATATATACACACATATACACACACACACACATATATATATATATATATATATATATATATATATATATATATATATATGCATACCAGGGGTGCCAAAAAAATGTATACACATTTTAAGAGCTGTTAACACTTTGGTCAGCATTGCTCAAGCAATAGTTCGCTGTAATCAGAAATGTCTGTACACTGATGGTAACCACTTTGAGCACCTCTTGTAATTGCAGAAGTCAAATGTGACTCATATTCATCTTTTGTTATTGGTATACATTGAATAGTATAATTTTAATACAGTTTTTTTTCTTTCTTAAAATGTGTATCCATTTTTTTGACACCTCTGTGTATGCCTGCCTTTAAGTCCAAAGATTTTGTAAAATGAAGAGTGTACAAATGATGATATCATTTATAGTCTCATCGCCTTAGTATTTAAATAAGTTAAATAACAATAAAAGTTTTATGAAATTCAAATCTTGCAGTTTAGCGAATATCCTGAATGTATATGTGTAACACGGACAAAGTACGTAGTGATTGGAAATGGAGACCCCTAAATAGTCTGCATGTCCATTCCCCTCCTGAGTTGCAGTGGTGTGAATCCACCGTCTGTTTCCTTCACTTCAGAATACTTCATTTCCTTCACCATGTACAATCTAAGCTCTAACCATCCTTCAGAAACTATGAGTAAAATGAACCTTTTCCAAACTTCCATAGTGTGATGGTTACAATAAGCAGGGACCTGCTGAATTTGTTTTCATTTCAGAGTTACATTCATTCAAGACAAGAGTGCTATGTAGGCGACCTTAGCTCTTTATAATTCTAACGCTACTAGTCTTAGGAGAAACTATTCATAGTATTTAAAAGAAATAGTGTATTATGTAGGATTTGGTACATATAACATGATATTGCTTGGTTTGGCTTGGTTGTGAGCCTTATAAGAGAGTTTCAGTGTATTTAGTCATCTGCAACTTATATTTTATATACAATATGCTTTCTAAACTATATATTCATGTGTGTAGCAATAGTTTATTCATCTTAACTGCTACGTAATATTCCATTGGTTGAATATATCATAGCTTAATTAATAGCAGTGTATTTATTCTCCTATCCATGGACTTTAGAGTTGTTTCCAGTTTTTCTCTTATTAACATTCCTGTACATGTATCCTGGTGATCATTAAAACACTTAATTAGGAGGGAAATCATAGACTCAGGATATGCAAATACTCAACATTACAATGTAGAGTAAAATTATTTTCAAGCCATAGGCTTTTTAATCTTTCTACTTCAATATTTACTTCAATAGAGCCATTTTCTGAAGGTACCAAAGATCCCTGTTTGAGCTAAGTGTTATAGTATTGATCAGACACTTATTGGAATTTCATATTAAATGTTATTATCTGTAGGTCAAGAGAAATATAAAAAGCCTGTACAAAGTTCACAACAGGATCACAAAGAAAAAGAATACATTGGGAAATAGGAGCCAATGATAGATTCCATGCCATGATAATTTGCCTGTGACTAAAACTGTTATCAATGATGTTAAGCTTTTAGAAATATGATTGGTTTTACATATGATGTATCAACTTATAAGAAATTCTTTTTTGCAAGACACCAGGATTCCATTTCTTACCAGAGAGACTATGCAATTACCTGCATATTTAGTCTGCTCTGCATTCTTAACTTTGACCTGCAGCAATGCCAATATTCAGAGCTACCTGGCCTAAATCCCTAATTAATAGCATTTATTTAGGCTTATTAACAAAGGGCATTTAGAGGTTGCTTTCACGATGAACTTGGGAGTGCAGGAACGTGAGGCCTGGGGCTGATAGACCCTTCATTAGATGAATTAATCACTTGAGTTAATTTTCTTTAGTAGTGATGAAGGGCTATGGAGTTTTGATGAGGGTTTAGACAGATAAGCAGGAATATACACTGTTTTCCAAACAAGGAACTCAGGGAGTGTGAAGGCACCTTAGGACACCTCCCTGCATCTGCCCCTTCTGCTCCAGGGCAGGTATCTAACTGGGAAGGAAAGGAGGAGAGAGGGCACTGAAGGTGGTATACGTTTACATCTTACCTTTTGCTAGGTGTGCCTGTATTACACAATGAATTAATAATTAGTTCAATATATTAAATTGTGAGCCAGATGTGTGTCAATGAATCAACTTGGATATTTCAGGACAGTTGAAATCTCTCGAGTGACTAGGTATTCTTTAATCCACCTGAATCATTCCTTAGAATCTTTCCTCTTTAATTTAATTTAAAAGACCCAGTTTTTAAAACGATCTTTCCTGACTGGTCAGCGATTCATCTACAAACATACATAACCGCCTAACTCATTATCACAGATGGTCTTCTGTAAATCTGGATGTTTTTACGTGGTGTTACGTACTTTTACAGATTAATGGTCGGTACTGGGTTTGCTGTACACAAAGTTTTGGCATGTTTTGGACTATTAAATAAAAGACCTTTACAAATGACCATAAGTGTATTAAGATACGTACTCAACAAGTATACTGTTATCATATCATAAAAATGGAGGAAAAATAGTTACGTTCCAGATGACACTCAAGACCCTCCAACACAGTCAACTTGTTTGCAGAGGGATCATGGGTACTAACTGAATTTTACCAGGGCTTGAAAAAAATGGGAATTGCCAGCAAGTTACTGAAAATTGAGAAATGAAGGTGAAGGAGATCAAGGTATTAGAGGCTGTTGGAGTTTCCTGGGCACCTTTGATGTCCTATATTGAGCGAAAGCAAATATTTACCCTTTCACCTATATATTGTCCTGTGCTCAGAGCTTCAGTTCATTTAAAAAACTAGCATATAAGTCACAGGTTGTAAAACAAACTAGTGCTGTAAGATGAATGGGAGGCTAGAAGTGAAAAACACCAAGAGCCTAACATTTGATATCATGATTGAATTGCTATCACTTTCAAAGATTTGCTTAACTGATATTGCTTCAACATTCTTTTGCATTAAGTAGACTAATCATGTGTTTGTGATGTCATTCCATTATAAGACGGTTGAAGAATAGCAAGGCATCTACAGATGGACATCGGTACCTTTTCCGTGGCCGGATCAATACAGAAGTGATGGAAGTGGAGAATGTGGATGATGGGACAGGTAAGTGATTCGTAGATTTAAAATGAAATGCCATTGGTAAACTCCCTCATAAGACAGACAACTCACCTTGAGTAATTTACGTGCAGTGCATTAGAGCTTAAGAGATACTTTGTTAAGTTGAGCAGTCAGAGGAAAAAGGTGAAATAATGGAGAGGAGGGCTATTTGACTATATTATAGAAAAACCAAATAATTTTGTGTACTGTAGGTATAAGTAAAATGCTTTTCTAAGTAAAGGACTCCATTAGACCACTAATTGCTTTGATGTAGCTCAAAACTTGCAGAAGAAATAATTGCATCTGAAATGAGACTAATATTCTAGTCAATACCATAACTATCTCAAATCTTTTGAAAAATCAATATGATTATACTTTTATTTATAATGTTAATAACTTGGATTATATCATAGTCATACCTCAGAATGGAAAGAAAATTATTTCAATGGTAATATGACATTCAGAAATATAAAAATTTGTATATTTATTTTAATATATTAATGCTATTCATTACTTCCCATGTTTAAGAAAGATGGCAGCCATTGAGTTTCTGGCCAAATTTCCATTCTACCAGTCTCTAGTTCCAACTCTCATTTCAATGAATTCAAACTTAATTTTTCTTTGAAGATTTTTTTTCTGAGGATATTACTTTGATCATGATGCTATAAAAAAAATCCAGCTTAAGAGCTAAGTAGGAAAGCTGTTGAATTTCCTAGAATTAATTTTCATGGAAATTTTCACAGTAGAGACTTGGAAATACATTAAAAAAGTAGCACCTGATCATTTGTATTCTTTCTTAAAAACTGGCTTATTTGTGATACTGGCCTTGCAGCGTGACAACATGTGGTAGGATGGTGTATGAACATAGACAGTGTGATTTTTTTTTCCTACCAATTTATTATTGTTTCTCAGTTGGTTATTTTTGGTGGTATTGAGGGATTGTGGTGTAGCCAAAAATTAATAATTTTTGCTTCCTTAATGATTCCATTGACACTTATCTGACATGTATTATGAGGTTCTGCTTTGTATAGGATGTGAGCAGGAATTAAACATGTAAAGGTAAGAAGGAAAGTACAAAATTCCTTTTAGAAATAAAGTGTAATTTCTTTATGGGGGACAAAATCCTCTGCCAGTTTGGATCTCTACATTATCAGAAATTGTTCTTGAGTATTAATGGGATTATGGCATATACATATAAAATACAGACTAATATATAATTCTATCCCGGTTCAAATGGAACCCAGAATTTTTAAAGACCCTACAACTCAACAGCTTTATTCACTACTGCATCTTTTGAATACCGTATTTCCCCATGTATAAGATGCTCCCCATGTATAAGACACACCTTAATTTTGGGGCCCGAAATTTGAAAAAAAATGTATTACATAAAGTTATTGAACTCAAGTTTTATTCATCATAAAATTCATACAATTCTTCATCACTGTCAAAACTCCCAACCATAGCCAGTCTCGGATTGTTTTCTCAGTTGGACGAGGACCAAACTTATGTTCAGCAGCATGATTTCCATTCACTTTTGCAAACTAGATCACTTTTAACTTGAATTCAGCACTGTACAAATATCTTTTCTGAGCCATTTCTGGGCAGAACGTAGCAAAACATAACCTAATATACCCGTAACAAGTGCAAAATAATGAACACAAAGACAACAAGCGTGAAAAAGCGGGAAATGCAAGTAAAAAAAAAAAAATCTGCAACTGCTGTATAAGACACACCCAGTTTTTAGACCCCAAATTTTTTGAAAAAGGGTGCGTCTTATACATGGGGAAATACAGTAGTTAAGTCTGAACAAAGATAATGTATGATGGTGTTGAAACTAAAAAATCCGTGGGAATCAGCTAACCAGAGAATGAGTGGCAAGCATGTGTGCCTCTACTCAGAACTTACCAAATTAAATAGATCATTTGAGGAAAAATAACCAAACAAGCAAAAAACAGGTACAGTACCATGAAGTCAGTTTAGAGTCTAAATCGCTTTTAATGCTTGGTGGCTCACCTCCTCTCTAGCCATCATTACTGCATAGTGACTTTAGGAGAAACAAATAAAGTGTCAGTTTAATTGGTGCTCATTTAGGCCTTTGTCCTGTGTGTCTCCATCTTGGAATCTTTGCTTTGCAGAATGTCATGCCAGTAAGGGCTGCTTACAAGTAACATCACTGTTCTCTACCTGCTGTTAGGCAGAAAACTGACGTAGAGGGTTTGCTGTTGACATTTTCAAAGCCAGCATGACAGTTTAGGCAAAATTGTAGAGAGACCTAGAAAAAGACAATAAGTGTAAATTCACACTCAAAGTCATTTTTTTGGTAAGTTTCTATTCATTCCAATTATATGTAATGATGTGGTTTTAAAGTGCATGTGTACTTTTCTCCTGTGTGCAGTGATAATGGATGGATGTTTGTACATTTCCATTTGTTGTAGATTAGGTAAATGCGCTCTTATTATAATATGTTCTGTTCATTTGGTCCAATTCTTATTGTGTGATTCACTCAATAATTGAAAATTGTTCCATGGGGGTATAGTCTGTCTCTGAAACCTAGAAAAATGTGTCAAAGGAGTGTTAGGAAGGCAAAATGAATCTGACACCGTGAATACTTGATTATTGAGATGAAAATCATTTAAAAGTTCTTTTATAGCTTTAGGAACTTGCACAATATTTTTGGACATAGTGGAAAGGAATGTTAATTAGTTTGGGTGTTTAATTACACATTAATGTTATGACTTAGAAACGCTCCATTATTGAGCACTGACTGCATTCAAAATATAAACATTTCATTAAATTTTTTATTTTTATGTTCTTTGATACACATGTATAAAAGCAAAGATATTCTGAAGAATTCACTGGTTTTGGAACTTTTATAAATTGAATGATTGCACTGATATAATACTGTCGATAACGTTTGCTCATTCACTTTTGCCTGTTAATTTGCAGCTGACTTCCATAGCAGTGGACACATCGTTGTTAATGGATGGAAGATACATAACACAGCCAAAAATAAATGGTTTGTGTGTATGGCAAAAACACCTGAAGAGAAACATGAATGGTTTGAAGCTATTTTGAAAGAAAGAGAACGGCGGAAAGGTGGGTATATTCATTGGGCAATATTGTACTTTGTGACGATTCTAACTTAGCAGGAAAGCAGATAATGGGCAAAAGTGATGAGGAAGTAGAAAGGTGTATGATGTTCAGTTGCATTTCCTATGTGATGTGAGCCCCATGAGAAAGTACTTTTTGTAGGCTTCCAGTATCGTTACTTACAAAAATAAAAGAGTAGGCTTACATAGTTAGCAAAACAAATACATATTGTGAGTGGCAGTTTCGTTTAAATAATGCCTTAGTCTGTTGAGGCTGCTAAAACAAATTACCATAGACTCATGACTTATAAACAAGAGATATTTATTTCTCACAGTTCTGGAGGCTGGGAAGCCTGGTTCTAAATCTGGTGAAGGCGGTTTCCTGGTTTATAGATGGCCATCTTCTCACTGCGTCCTCACATAACAGAAGGGGCAGGAGAACTCTCTGGGGTTTCTTTTACAAGGGCTCTAATCCCACTCATGAGGGCTCCACTCTCATGACCTAATCACCTCCCAAAGGCCCCACGTCCTAATGCTATTCCATTGCGGGTTAGGATTCAGTATATGAACTTTGGGGGCACACCCACATTCGGTCTACAGCAAATAGTTTCACTTGCTTTAAAATTTATTTAATTTTCTTTGCACTTCATCCTCACCATTTCTAAAGTATCCTCACAGAAGTTTTCTTTAAGAGTCAAGCTTCAACAATATGCAGAACTGTAGGGCCTCAAACAGTTGTTCTTTCTATATTTAATAGCACAGTGACAATTCCTAGACCAAATATGTTAGTGTCCTAATTGCCGAATAAGTCACTTTGGATATATATGAACTTTTAGGAATTGTTGCAATACTATTGAATATAATCTAATCTAACCTAATAAAGAGCTTGTTCATATGAGGTGGCCTAGCTCAAATTTGCTTCATGATTTTAGCAAAGTTTGTAGGAGGTGTTTTGTCTGGCAGTATTCAGATGTGTGAAGTTTATCTGCAAGTAAACGTATTTCTGTAATTCAGTGAGGAAATAGAAATACTTGTATAACTACTAGTTTCTTTACCAAATAATTGATAAGAGACACAACAGTGTTTATTCCTTTCCCCAGAGATCTAGGAATAAAACATCTCATGGGTGATGAGATGTTGGAACATAAAGAACCCTTTCTTCCATCTTCAGATATTTTCCTTTGAAGAAATTTTCTGCTTTGATTAAAATATCCATAGTACACATTTGTGTGAAAATTTCCAAAGCATTTCTCCATACTTACTCCATTGCTTGATGTTGGATGAAGAACCAGATAGGGATTTTTAGGACAAGATTATGAATGCATAGCTGACTCTTTGTTTTTTTAATTTAGCAATACATTCAAATATAACAAATTATTTAAAAGGTAAACTGAACTTTTCATCAAATTGAACCTTTTTTAAAAGAATGGCTGTACATATAGATGTACCCAAGACAAGGAAGGAAGGAAGGAAGGAAGGAAGGAAGGAAAAAGACAGACAGAAAGAAAGAAAGAAAGAAAGAAAAAAAAGAACTTTCTGTAAATCTGTTTATGTTAACAGGCGCTTTCCTTAATGGATCATTCACTTTTACTGACAAATGTTAATGGCTTTTACATTGTAAAATAATAAAATTTTGGTAAGAAATTTTGTAGCTAGACTGAAATAATAATTCAAGTATTTCTTCTTCTGCAATAGTTCTTGGTTAGTCCCATCCATTGACTAAGCATCCGTGTTCCCAGGATCTCAGCTTTGGCACTGGTCTCCTCTAAGCTAGATTCCTGGCCTGGGTTACGTGTTCCCACCAGATTCACTTCCCCTTTTACACTGTCAAGTTCTCAGTCTTTATGTCTGGCCTTGTTCTTTCTCCTGAGCCTCTTACTCATGTATTCCATTGGCCCCTAGACTCGGCCTGAACATCCAAAGTCAGCCTGCTCAGTCAGTGCTAGACTCCTCCTTACCTGAAACCCTTTGCCCACTGTGCCTCCCCACCCCCATCCAGATCTCACATCAAAAGCCTGGAAGCCGTCTTGACTTCTATCGCCTTCACACCTACAATTAACCTGGCACCGTGTTTCTTCACTTCATTCTCTTTGTCCTGTTGCCCGTCTTTTTGTCTGCAAGGGCTTGAACTTCTCTGTCCTGTTGCAGTTCCCTCCTAAGGGTCTCCGTTTTTTTTAAATCGCCCCCTCTTCTCCCTTTCAGTTTGTCCTCTGAGCTTAGTTTCCAAAGTAACACAACTTTCTTTCCCGCACGAGGCTGCCTTCCCCTCCCTCTGGTTAAAACTTAGACGTTTGCCCAGGACTTAAGGACTGAAGTCCATTGAAACTGCAGTTGAGCAGGGCCCTTCCTAACCCACTGGCTCATCTCCTGTCCTCTCACCTGAAACCCAGGGCCCGGTGTTTCTGGGCTGCTTCACCTCAGTTAGTTAGCTCTTGTGAATACTTTCTCTCTCTCTCTGAATAGCCTGTTCACACCTATGCATTTAAACAGGGCCCTTCTGTGAAGCTTTTCCAAACATTTCTCAGACAAGGTCAGGTGCAATGAATGTATCTCCGCTGGGTCACAGATTTTTCTCTAAGGCTGCCCCTGGAGCCACGCTGTCCACTTGTTCTGACTTAGTCCTACAGAAGGGTCCATAGGACCTGGGATACAGCTGCTCTTCCTGCCTGGGCCAAACCATGTGTCTTTGAGACGCAGTTTGCACAAAAGTGCCACGTGGCCCTGGACATCTTGCCTTGACTGTCTCCCTGGTCCCCATGAGCTGCTGAAAACCAGGGCTCTATTGTATGAGCTTTGTACTCATAGCCCCCAGCACCTGGTAGAAATGCAACAAATGTTTGTTTAATGAAGGCATGAATGAACGAAGAGACGTTTTCAGTGACCTGTCCTTTGTTTCATTTTGGACAGGTTTAAAATTAGGAATGGAGCAAGACACCTGGGTAATGATCTCTGAACAGGGTGAGAAACTCTATAAAATGATGTGCAAACAAGGAAACCTGATCAAGGACCGAAAAAGAAAACTGACAACGTTCCCTAAATGCTTCCTTGGAAGGTAGGGTTGGTAGTCTGGGAGTATATATTTCTTTCGTATTTTCACTGTCTACATGTTAACTCTCTTTTAATGATTTGTTTTCCTTTAAGAAAAATACTCCTAAGCATTTATGAATATGTGTTTACTGTCAACATTCCCTGGACCATAGTGGGGTGATAGAATGGACAGAGAGCCAGGACTCATTATAAAAAAACTCAAGGCATCCATCCGTTCATTTATGACTTGGATCATTTCTAATATACTGTGTTCTAAGGGTGAAGCAGAGGCTGGGGTCAGGCAGAGGCTGACAGGCAGGCAGGTTTGGCTCTAGGGGACAGAGCTTGGCAAGGATGTGACTACAGGACCTGAAAGTCAAAGATTAGAGAACCGAAGACACAGTCTCAGCTGCCAGTTGATTCAGGATTTTGACAGCTGGGCTCAGGACGAAGGGTCTGAAACAGTGGCTCGTGTGGGGGCCCAGAGCAACAGGCAGGGGTGTCGCCTGGGTGTTTAGCATAGATGGACTGGGTCCTTGGTTTTTGCAGACAGCTGCATGGGGAGCCCCTGCTGGGCTAAGCAGGCAGGCAGGGCCAAGGGGAAAGACGACTGTCTCAGATATGTAGGCCAGGCTGTGGGCTGGCTTCTTCCTGCATGTTATTTCTCATCCTCGAATGCATACTTACCTTTTGTAAAGATTCCGAAACTAGGGGTCTAGAGTTGAACATGGTCAAGTTCTTGGTTATTGCCAATGCTGACTCTATTATAAAAGTAGCCTGGAGTGGTAGTTCAGAGCCCAGACTTCACAATCACACTGTCTCCATTTAGATCTGTTCCTGCCACTGGCTAGTTGAGAAATTTCCTCTCTAAAAATAAAGATAATTGTAGTGCTTACCTGTAGTAACTACCGGAATGTCTTCTTAATTAGCTGTGCAGACACAGAAAATGGGCCCCACCAGCTCCCAGCCCTGTTAGAATAATATATAGGCCAGGAAACCGTGTGCTTGCAGGGCAGCAAGGGGTCTCTTCTTCAGTAGGCGTGGTCCTCACCGCAGGCCACCCAGCTGCCAGTAAGCTAGTGTCGCCAGTGTCTAGTCCCCCAGGTGGTGTCTCTTGTGAAAGGTGAAGAGCAGATGTGAGCCCACCTTTGCTCAGAAACCTCATGTTGCAAAGAAGACGCTATATCTTGTAACTCCCTCACAGGCATAACTTCCGAGGTTCCCACAGGTTCATGTCTACTTACAAGAGTCACTTCCAAGTTATGGCTTCTCACCAGGTATTATGAATATGCGACTTAGCCATTGGGGTCATTTTTACCATAAGCCATGCTGCCTACGAATACAATTGACACCCTGCCTTCCTCAGGTTCCTAGTGAAACAGAACCAGAATGTTAACCCAGGGTCAAATGTGTCCTCACTGAAGGAGAAGGGGTTTTGTTCACCCTTTGCCCCACCGTCTCATATGGCGGTAGTGCTAGGTAGTTGCAATATGCAAATTTCCCCGGAGTACCTAATACATAGGCGAGACACAGCAAATGTCAGCCGTGTGAATTGTGGCTTCTTCCGTAATGGCACCCTCTCTCTCCCTTACAGCCCACATTTGACATGGTTTCTGATTGGATCATGGTCACGGTGCAGTGTTCCTGGGACCTCCTTGTTACTTGAGCAGGTCCCACAATAAAGCTACTCATTAGCTTCTTTTCTTACCCCTTCCCTTTTCTCCACTAATTTATAGCAGCACTTCAAAGGTGTTCTTTCCCTCATCTGAATTTGACATGTTCAGGAATCTGGTGACATCAGAAATGTAGAATTACACTTTAGCTACATACCAGCCATTTCAACCTGCTTGTCAACTGCTGACATTTAATAAGTGTTCGCAAGGTGCCAGGCGCTGTGCTGGGTTCCTGACATTTATCAGCTCGCTCACTCCTGTGACAGCACTACGAGGTTGATATTCCTCTTATCATTTCTTTGTTATGGACGATGATAACTGAGGCTTAGAGAGCTGAAGCCACCAATCCAATATCACACAGCTATTAGAAGCAGAAGCAGGATTTGCATCCAGATTATCTTATTGAAAAGCACTCTGTCTTAACAGCTCTACTGTATTCCACCTTCTTTCATTTTTTTTTCTCTCGAGTGGTTCTTATTTCATAGAAGAATAAAAAACACTTTAACAACTTCTGCCTTAAAATGTCCTTTTTTTGGAATAGATATCCATATTTAGAGTTCTAAGTTTCATGGCTCGTTGACTTTAGCCGTGTGTATTGCTTTTGGTTTTGAAATAAATGGAAAAGGAATTTCCTAACACTTTCCATAGCTTTGCTTTTCTGGCCTCTGTGCTAAAATGAAAGCTTTCTGAAATATATTCATTAGTTTATGTAAAAAGTCAAATGTTAGATTTTTATAACATATGCGTGATAAAATTTTTATTGTTAAATGTCTCTGTATTTAGTGCTCTCTTAATGCTACCACATGGCCTTAAAAAAAATTTACTACTGCGCTGAGGCTCTCCTAAGTGTTACGAAATATCATCCTTCTTATCTATGATGACTGCGGCTCCTTGCCCCCTCCCGAAATGATGAAAGATGTGAGCTATAATCCTCGGTGGCCTCTTGCAGCCACAGCAGATGTGTGTGGTAGACAGTTCTGATAGATGGTTTTGTGCTGGAGTATTCCTTATGGGTGACAGTTTAGATACAACAGTGAATTTGCCAAGTAATTTTAAGATTTGAAAAGGATGTACTAAAACTTTTCTGTCTCTTGGTGTGTATTAATTTTCTATCTCCGCAAAATGAATTGTCCCATACCTAGTGGCTTGAAACAACACCCATTTGTCAGCTCACAGTTCTGTAGGTCAGAAGTCCAGGTGAGCAATACTAGGTTCTGTGCTTAGGTAGGGTGTCCCAAGGCCAAAAGCAAGGTGTGGGCTGGGTCGGGCTCTTATCTTGGAACTCTGAGGAAAAATCCACTTCGAAGCACCTTCTGGTTGTTGGCAGAATCTAGCCCTTTGTGGTTGTAAGAATGACGTCTGGCTTCCATGTTCACTGTGGACCAAGGCCTCTCTCAGTGACAAGATGCCTGCCTTTCTAGCTGCATGGCCTTTCTACCTTCAAAGGCTGCAGTGGCACACCGAATCTTTCTCATGCTTTTAATTTTTCTCACTTCCTTTTGTGCCACCAGCCTGAAGAAAAGTCTGCTTTGAAAGGCTCAGCCGATTGGGTCAGGCCCATTGGGATAGTTTCCATATTTTAAGGTCAACTGAGTTGGGATTTTAATTACATATGCAAAATCCATTCATAGACCTGCCTAGATTAGGATTTGATGGAAAAAAACCAAGGGGTGGGATTCTTGATAGAGGGTGGGAGGACATCTTTAGAATTCTGTCTACCATACCGGGTATGCAGTTTTGTTTTGTTTGCCCTCTGGGTGTTTCAGACCCCCTGGAAAGCCACATCCAAGAGTTTATCTCTTAAATTAGTCATTATTACTCTATCTAATTCTGTCTATTAGCTATCGTTAGGATTTGTTATATTTTCTTTAGTCCCAAATTTGCCTTTATGTGGATGGTAACCTTATAATTAAAGCTGCTTTAAAATTTTCCCATTGTGTTTATTAGAGTTAGATAGTTATTAAGTATAGTTTAGGTTAAGTCTGAATGTATGGACATGGGTTTTCTAGAACAGAGTCCAATTTAAATAACTTGGCTTTTCATATGTGAAAAAAAATATATGCTGTAAGGCACTGCAAATATTTTTTTATATAATAGTTTGAGACTCCTTTCATAGTTGCTTGGTGAATGCATGGTACAGATAGACTTCCCGGGGGAGAAAATGAACTATTTAACTTTTTCACTGGATTTCTGTTTCAGTGAATTTGTGTCCTGGCTGTTGGAAATTGGGGAGATTCACAGGCCTGAAGAAGGTGTGCATCTGGGACAAGCGTTATTAGAAAATGGGATCATCCACCATGGTAATTATTTCATTACCTATTTAATTATCCACAAATCACATGCACTTTAATTGCATTGATCAGTTTCGTGTACAGTCATTCTTCCCCTTATAGGATCCTTATGTTTTTTTCACCAACGTTTTTGAGTGCCTAATATATGGAAAACTGTGTTTCAGGGAGGGTGGGTTTGTGGTGTGGTATTTGCTATCTTTAAAACTAACGACTGCAACACAGGCAAGAATTAGAGATACAGTAAGTGTTGTGGGATCGTGGAGAAAGGGCTAGTGAGTTCGAACTCAGAGAATTTGGGGGTGCTTCATGAGGGAAGTGGGATTAACACTGGGCATTGCAGAATCACAGGGAAGGGGGACGTTCATGATGGCCTTTGTAGGAGCTAGCACAGAGTCTCATGTGGTGAGACAATATACTGCATGATGAATATACTGGGCGGGCGGGGGGTGGGGGGTGAGAAAGGCAGGCAAACACCTGATCCCAGCAGATCTGAACTCTGGCTCTAGTATGTCAGGCCGATTCTGAAGGAAGTGAGGAGCTGATGGACACTTCAGCAAAAGCGTGACAAGAACTTGGTTTTCGGGCTAACAGATGCAGCGATGTAGAGCCTGGAGCGGAGAAGGCGAGGGCGTCCCCAGGGCGGTGTCAGTGGCATTTGAGAGATTCTGGCGAAGTTGAAACAGCATATTTGATAACTGCCTGGACCTGGGTGATGCAGAGTGAGGAGCGAGTTCAGGTTATTCTGGGATTTCTGTCTGGGTGACAGAAAGAGTTAATTCCGGAGAAGGGGCAGGTTGGGGAGTAGATAAAGGATTTGTTGTAGATTGGATAGAAGACATCCTTGGGGAAGTGCCCAGCAAAAGGTTGGAAATGTGTGTGTAAAGCTCTGGGTAGAGAGAGTGAGAGACAGATTTGGGGATCATTTCAGTCAAGAGAGTTATCAGATCCCTCAGAACGACAAAAAACAAGAAAGCAGTGATAACAAGATTAAGAATAAAAGCTTGAAGTGTGTCTCATGCAAATTTGTAGGAAGGATAAATATGGATTTTTGGTTAGGGTATTTTGATGTTCATTTTCTGGCTAAATTAGAGTGGAGTGAAAACAAACTAAATCCTCCCAATTTTTCCCCACCACACTGGGTACTGACTGCCATTATAATGTGCCACTATCTATCCAGATAGAAATCATCTGGAATTCCTTTCTCTCTCTCTCAAAATAAAAAATAAAAATAAAAAAATTTGCCAACAATTTTTTTTTTTTGGGGGAAGGGATATCAGAATGGGGGAATTTCAGTCCTAATCAATTTTTCTCCCCTACCTCAGACACCACTTTTCTCCAACAATACAATTTTGTAAAGGAAGTGGTAGATAAATTCAGGATTAAAATTTGATTATTTAACTTATGAGAATTGAAATCTTTTTGAGTAATGATGTTTATAACCCGATTATCTCTTTTGCTGGGAAATAAGGCACTGAGTACTCTCTATTCATTTTGCTCAGCTCCTCACAGTTTGATTTGAGTGGCCTGTGCTAATTGCTGTTTTCAGGATTTGGTCAGATTCGCCACAAAGAATTTTTGTCACTAGAAATCATCTTTTTTGAAGTGTCCAACATTAACAGATTCTTACCCCAAGTTGGGGGTAAGAGAACTATCATATAATTTTACATTAATAATTTTATTAGAATGAAGACATATGAGCCAAACATGCTAGTTTCATTAGTATGTGGTTCCAGCTGCATTTTAGTGAAAATTGAATTCCTAAAATAAAGTTGAATGAACCATCTGGTTTAAGGAAAACAAGCAAAAGAGAAAAGTTGTCTATTAGTGCTATCATTCACTTTGTTAATACTGCGAAGAACTTCACGAGAGGCAAAGCCTTGTTATACTAGGAAACCTTGGGCTGAAGCAGCGTGTGCTTTCTGTGTGATATGCTGATAATATTTTTCTTGTCTGGCACTACTATTTATATTATAAGTGCTTATGTGAGAACTCAGAGACCTTGTTTGTTATATCCAGTAGTGTGCTCAATTTACCTTCTTCTAAGCTCAAGAGAGCTGGTAAATAAATTTTTTTAAAATTTGCAAGCTCGTTAAGCACAGCTATTAAAATTTAAGTTAACATATATATATATATATATATATATATATATAAATTATAAAAAAAGGTAATATGTTCTTAAAACTCATCACTTCCTAATTATTTTACTACATTTCATTGCTAGCTATGCACTTGGTATTATTTATACCTATTATTTCGGTATGATGGAGATACTAAACAATCTCCACACACCTAAGTCCGTGTTCAGTGACTATTTTGGTAGCTTGATATTGGTCAGTGGTGGGAGTGTTCATACCACAAATTTTGGCCAATGCTACAAATCAGAGCTACTTCTCCCCTACCACCTACATAGCCAGTCATTCAATATTCACCAGTACATCCCTGGTAACATCACATAGTTGTGTAAAAGATGGCATTAAGCAACCTTTCTCCCAAGATGAACCGAACTCTCATCCGTTAATAACCCATTTCCCATGTTCGAGAAGTTGAGTGAGTCAATTTGAATGTAGAACTGTACACTGTGTTTCCGAGGCAACAGCTAGGAGTTGCAGATTAACCCAAGATTAATTATCAAAGTCATGGGATTTGCCTTATGGCTAAGCACTACATTTTGAATAGGTTATACCACCACTTACTTGATTGTGGCAGAGATATTTGGGCCCATCATTTCCTTGAATTTTCCGATATCAAGATGATAATTTATTCCAATGAATCTTAAGGAATATAATTGGAATAGGTAGATTGCATAAGAGAAATAAGTAACTGGCCTTGAAAGATGCCATGGGATCTCAAAATATTTCTCTTGATTTTATTTATTTTTTTTCTCCACATATGCTTTTATTTATTTATTTTTCCTTTTGGCTTAATCTGAAAAAAAGGTTGCCAAAAGGCTCTGTTGTCTTTTTTTTTTTTTCCAGCAACCCTGTCTCAATTTTATGGCTACAAGTCATGCATGTTCACGTGGTTTGGATAGGTTGGGGTAAAATAGCTGAAATTTCACGTGTGTGTGTGTGTGTGTGTGTTTTTCATAAGTTTTTTGGCTTTTTTATGGATTCATCAAATGTAGTTCATGATGTTTTATCCTGACAGCTTTTTCTCTCCCCTTTTTTAGCAAAAAGTAAAGGTCAACATCTTCTATGTAATCATGAAAATAGAGCCCAATTCCAGCAAATTATCTCTTCTGTAAATGTTGCATTCCTTGTAAAGAAAACAGAAATGTAAACTCTTTGAGCTTTTATTGAAGACTTTCTAGAACAGTTGTTTATTTATTAGACGGTCTATGAAATGACTTCTGGAAAAAAAGAAAAAATTGAGAGGAAGTTTCATAGGAGTTTATGAAGATGAAAATCTTATCCTAGTGTTGCAAGTGAAGAATGACCCCTCATTTCCACTGAGAAAAAATAATTAAGTGACATGCAAGGAAAGCATTTCTCAGTGTAAGAAAACGATTAGATTTTGAAATCAGTCGCATTTTGAAGTTATGTAATCTACTCCAGAGATCTAAACACAGGATGAATGGTCAAGATTGGTCTATGTGTGGTCTTGGCCTGATCGCAGTGGGATAAAACAAATAAATGTTAAAATTCACTACTAGGGCTGAGACTCAAATCATAACTCACTAACTGAATATCTTCTCTTTGTAGGGCCCTTTCTGCTTGACTTTCTGGCATTGCAAAGAAATAGAAAACGCAAACTTGTATTTTATATTAAGATAAATATGCTCCACCCACACACAAACACATATAATATGCTAGCTGACTGTTGCTAACCTCAATTTAGTGAAGTTGTTATATGGAAATTGTAAATGTGTTATATAACAAAATCTTATTATGAATCTTACTGTCCAAATACTGGATGGACTAGCGTTACTGCGTTAGGAAAACGAAAGCTTTTGGTAAAATTAAAAGTTTCAGTATTTGGGAATATGTATTTCATAAATGCATCTGTTGTTATCTGCCACCTTTTAGATTGTCAGTATTTTAATTTGTTGTTCTTATGTTCTTAGTTACTGATAAACATCAATTCAAACCAGAACAGATGTTATATAGATTTCGCTATGATGATGGAACATTTTATCCAAGAAATGAGATGCAGGATGTGATTTCAAAGGTAACAGCTTCTCCTACATCCTTTTATCAACAGCAGAATTCATGTTGTCATACTTAAGTGAGATAAATGCTGTTGAGAGACTTACAATAATCTTCTGGTAGGAAAGTCTTAAAAGACGTATATAAACAAGCCTACCAATTCCTTCTTACTAGTCTAAGAATTCTAATGTTAGATACTTTTTTTGTCACTCTCTTATCTAGTTCTAAATGGAGGTAATGCAATTGTATCACTCAGAAGGTTATAATCTTTGAAAACTATTTCACATGTAGCAACGAGTGGTCATGACGCATGAATAAATAAAAAATACAAATTAAAAAAACTAATGTACTATCTTTTTTATTTGTACACTTGACAAAATTTATATTGAAATATAATGAAAGTATGATGTATTACTGCATAAATTTATTTTCTGTTTTACATTACACCGTGTTATTTTATATTTTAAGAAAAATAAATTTAAAAACCTTTTTATATGTATATGTCACATGTTTATAACAAATTCATTCATAGCACAATTTAATCCTGTTTTTCATGATTTAAGTCACATTATTTTTAGGTTCTAATGTAATATTTCAATAACTTTTACATTGGTTGAGATTGCTTACTTATTTCAGAATGTTGACAGTGAATACTTTCATTTGAAATTTCATTGTTATGTCCTTTGAGTGATCTTACTTGCTTTTGACATATCTTTATTTCACAATAGGGCGTAAGATTATATTGCCGTCTTCATAGTCTATTTACTCCAGTGATAAGGTGAGTCGGGTTTGTAAGTTATGGGCAACTTAAGTGTACATACGAGTATACAATAGAATATTAGTCAGCCATAAAAAAGAATGAAACCTTGTCATCTGTAACAACATGGATGGACCTAGATGGTGTTGTGCTGGGTGGCGTAAGTCAGAGAATGACAAATGCCATATGATTTCACTTATATATGGAATCTAAAGAACAAAACAAATGACTCAAACAAAAACAAATTCACAGATACAGAGAAGACTTTACTGGCTGCCAGATGAGAAGGGAGTTGGGAGGATGGGTGAAAAGGGGGAAAGGATTAAAATACAGATTGGGGGGCCCGGCCGAGTGGTTCAGTTGATTAAGAGCTCGCTCAAGAGTGTGAGCTCTGAGCAACAGTGGTTTGAATCCCTGCCCAAGCTGAACTGCCACTGAGCTGCCAACAGGTGGCAGGATGGCTCAGCTAAAAATAAATAAATAAAATAAAATACAAATTGGTAGTTACAAAATAATCTTGGAATTGTATTGGGTCGTCGGGAAAATCATGACACATTTTTGCATTGAAAAACATAGAAGAATACATCATGTATGACTTTCCTGATGACATATAAATATAGCATAAGATATATAGTCAGTAATATTGTAATAACTATGAATGGTATCAGGGATAGTAGACTTATCAAGATGATCACTTCATAAGTATATAAATGTCTAATCACTGCATTGTACACCTCAAAATAATATAATATTGTATGTCAAGTATAATTGAAAAACAAAAAAAAATTAAAAAATGAAATATTTGTTAGGTAAATACTATCCAGCTGGAACTTGGTGTATTTTGCTTTTTGTCCCAAAGTGAAAATTTTACTTTTAAAGATTAATAATTTATCTTAAAATATTCCTAAATTTTCTGATGCGCCAATTATACGTGTTCCCACTGTTTTTATTATGATTTCTAAAATTATTTACCATTTATTCCTAGTAAATTATAGACCATAATTAAGTGACCCACATTCAGTTATATTTAATAAATAATAGTTGGCTGGGAGAGGACTTGGAGATACTGTGTACTATAAATATTTACTATTATGATTCCTTATAAATTAACTTTTAAATTGTGTAATCAAATCTTGGATGTGTATTTTGTTTCACAATATTTCTTCCTCATTGTCTTTTATCCAAAGAAAAGATTTTGTACTTGAAAATTAAGAATCACTTTGGAGTTAATAAGTATAATTTAGTAATTTTATCTCTACCATGTTTTTCCTTCTGAAGAGATATACTTTTTAGTTTTTAGAAGAATCGAGATTAATTTTCAGTTGATCTCTTTAGAAAGACAGAGGAAAACTTTGAGTTTTGTGTGATGATTGCGTATAGAGGAGATCATCTGGGAGTATTATAGTGCTTTGTAATATTCTCTCATGTACAATAACTGAGAGATTTAATGTAATGTTTAACCATTGGGTTGCCGGAAAAGTCATTTTCCATATTTTTTCTGTTTTTCATTGCAAAAATGCGTCATGGCTGTTCCGACAACCTATAATTTCAAATGGCCAGGTATCATTAGACGTTTATTGGCTGATATGTATTTTTCAGAACTAAGAAATGGGATGTATTATTTCCAAAATGAATGAAGAAGTTTTTCAATTGTGGCTATAGAATCCAAATGTTTGTTGTACAGTGTGTATTTTTCATTCTGGTTTCCAGTTCCAAGGAAATGCAGAGCTTAGAAAAACGAGGAAAGATTTCAGAAGTTGCTATTTAATATATCCGAATTCCCACTAGTGTTTCATAGAGAACACACTGCAGGTCCTGAAGGAGAAAACAGGACCTTTACCCATTACTGCTGAACGTGCCCTGTCCACTTTCACAAGCAGGATTCCCAAAGTAAAAAGAGGTGAAAAAGAAGCCATAATTTATTGATTCTCTTGCATAGACACCCTGCAAATATTTTGGATAACAATACAAAACAATGTTTGTTTAACCCAATAGCAAGTTGGTACTTAACTTATTTTTTCCTGCTAAATGAATAGAAAACAATAATGGTTAATTTTTTTATGTTTCACATCACCTGTGTATATAGACTTTCTGTGTAAGAAAATGTTCTGAAAATATATTTTAGCCATATGGGATTTCTTATCAAGAAAGTTACAGACTGTAAGAGCTGATAAGAAGGAATTGTTCTTGGCTAGCAATGACAATTGTTTATGAGTTGTCAAGGGAAAATTTATGGGGAAAAAACCCATAAAACAGATGGAATGCATGATAGTCATGCTTTTAATATGTGTGAACTCAGTTTATGAAAAGAAAAATTACTTGGATGAAGAACCCACAAACCCATATGTGGTCTATAACAAATTTCCCGTTTTTCTTCCTAATAATGCTTGTGGGAACCAAGACAAAATGGGTGATGAGGTATCAGAAATATGGAGATAGATTTAAAAAGATTTAAAAAAATCTGTCGATTACTGGCTGAGTGCATTTATTATTGAAATCTCAGAAATTTAAGCCATATTTCAGAGAGCTCTTTAAAATGATATAAAAATCAATTGTAAATTACTGACAGAGGCTAGAAAACTGTGAATATAGCTAGTAATTATTCACCACTGCAAGTTGTTTACAATTTGGATTTTTTGACCCTGTGAAAAGACTGTCATTTTCTCATTCCCTTTTGATCCAGGCCTTCACACTAAATGAATTACAGATTTTCGCCTTTGGGTCCCCATTCGGATCATGAGCACTTTGTTGGTATCCTACTAAGCGGTGAATGATTTCTCAGATCTGGGAAATCTACTGAAAAGAGAGTTTGATGTGGGACCACTTGATTACCTTGGTTACCTAGGGATGTGGTATCACTGTGACAAAAATGAATGACAAGATTCTCAGTGTGTTTACTTCAGGACAGGGCAAAGGTCTTCCACTGTAGTTGCACCAAGTGAATCATCGTGTAATGCAAATCCAGCCTCCCCCAAGATTTCAGAGTGCCAGTAAAAAAGGATTGCTTTATTCTCCACATTTTGAGGAGATGTTTTTGTAGAATGATCCTGATTTAAAGGGGAAAAAAATTATCTGATTATTCTTTTGTTAGTGAGATATTGTATTCCTAGCTAAGTTATTACCAGATAATAGAGCAGTCATGATCTATTTGGATATAAGAACACATGAAAGAAGTAATGGCTGTTTGGGTATCACTGTGGGTCTCTCCTCCTGATATGAGCTGATGGAGTTTTCAGATGTTGTACAGACCTTGTAAACTTCTCTTATTTACACATGATGGGGACAGTCGCTTCAGATTACACTGAATAAACATTCCAGGTGCACACTGATACTAAATGAAATGCTTCCCTTGTCTCTTGTCTCTTTTCTGATTGCTTTTGGTGTCTTGTTTTCTTTACAGAGATAAAGATTACCATTTAAGGACCTACAAATCTGTTGTAATGGCCAACAAACTGATAGACTGGTTGATTGCACAGGTAAATAGACAAATAGAAGTTGCTGACTTATATTCACTGTTGCTTTAACTTTGAGCATGTGATTTAGGTATTTTTTTTTTCTTTAATCCCCGTCTGCAGACGAGGCACAGTAAAGTAGCCTAATTCATACAGCAAATATGAAACAGAGTTAGGATTTCAACCTAAATAATCAATCTGACTTCAGGGTCTTCAGGCTTAATTTTTATGCCATATTGTTTTTCAAAAGAAGTTGTTCCTATTTTAAAAAGATCAGCTGAGATACTTTGATCCAAAAAAATGAAGTGTAGTTTGAATATCACTGAAGAGTAGCCATGGGCATATACTGAAATGTTTTTTGCATGTTTTGTTCACTGATTTGTTTTAAAGCATGTGTTTATTAGTCCTAGCAAGTTATCCTAATCTTCCTGTGCCTTTTTCTCTGTTAGATAATAATGGGGCTTTAATGGCCATCTGCATACATTTTAAATAGGAAGATACAAAATTTGTTGTTGTTATTCTGCTTCTCAGAATGTGGGAGCTGACAGCTGGTATTGAGAAAATGGAATTTGTCAACCAGGGCATCTAGCCCCTCATAGAAGATATGCAAATATAAATTTATTTAAATGTTTTATCATACTAGGTCAACTAATAAATGATCAAATGTTTCCCTTGATTCAAAAAAAGGCTAAGAGGGCTGGCAGAGTGGCTCAATTGGTTAAGAGCTGGCTCAGGAGTGTGAGCTCTGAGCAACAGTGGTTCGAGTCCCAGCCCGAGCTGAGCTGCCACTGAGCTGCCAACAGGTGGCAGGATGCCTCAGCTAAAAAAACAAAAAAACAAACAAAAAAAATAAATCACATCAGTTGTGATTTATTTATGTGTCAGTCATATTTTTAATTGATGCCTTTCTTCTTCACAACCAAAGCCATTTCTGTTCTGTTCTCTTTTGATTCTCAACAGTTCTATGTGACACAAGAAGGATTTTTAAAAGGCATATGGATACCAACACACTTTAGATAGTATTTTTTACACCATCTGTTCAATAAAGCAAGAGTCTGGCCAGATTGTCAATTGAATAATCAATTAAATGTCAGTGACTATTAAACACAATCTTATTAAAAGTTTAACATTTAAGCAATTGCTTTGATGGTTCAAATAAAACAAACCAATAAAACGGGAAGTAGGCATGGTTTCCTGCCTTCAAAGGATTGTTAGTCAGTGGGGCTAATTTTTACATATCCTTTAAGATTTCACTCCAGCATCATCTCTAGGAAGCTTGGCTGGGTCCTCTAGGTAGGGCTCAGGGTCTATGATCCCAGTTCCCTGGGTAGATGTGTCTCAGCAAATACCATATTATATTGAAACTGTCTTAACACACATATTTCTTCGGGCAGGGACCTATTGAACCTTTGTTAGAAAAATCCAGCACCTCGTATAATGCCTGACTGGGAATATTGACTAAATTGAATAATGGTCTTTATTATGTACCACATTTTACGTGAACAGATCCTTTACTAGATTCAAATTACTTCTGGGCAGGGATGTATTTTGTGTGTGAGCGTTTTACTATATTATCGCTAGCGCTTTGGCACACTATGTGGCAAATAAATAAATAAATAAATAAATAAATAAATAAATAAATAAGAAAAATCTTTTGAATGAATGCATAAAAGTTATTTACAGCTAGATTCTTGAAAAGGGCGCAGAAGCGTTGTCCAAAGATACAGATTATAAGTGCTTTCGTAGTTAGCAGGAAGATTGTCAGAGCATGAGGTAGAACTTGTCTTGGTCCTTCATGGACAGACAGGTAGAATGGAAGTGGGAGGAGGGTAAGGAGAAAGGCATTGCAGGTATGAATGGTTACATGAGTGAAAGCAAGGAGGAAAGTAAGCGCAGGGTTCAGGCAGCAATGGGGGCCAACTTGACTAGAGCGGAATGTGTGGCTGTTTGGAAAATGGAACTGGAGAGGTAGAATGAAGCCAGCACATGGAAGACCTTGAAACCCAACAGAAATTTTGATATGTTGTGATTTAAAAAAAAAAAAAAATTGTTTAAAGTTTTTGAACATGACATTCCTGTATAAGAAGAAAGTTTAATTCTATCACAGCATATGTTGGAGAAAGTATTTAAAAAATTATAATTTAGAAGTGAGACGAAGAAACACTAGATTAGGGTGTTGACATGTGATGGAATAGAAGCCAGAGGGAAGAGGATAGATTTGGCAGAGTACCTAAGTGCTAAAAGATAGGACTAGAAAAAAATGAGATAATATGTGAGAAAGCACTTTTTAAACTGTAAAACATATAAGTATCAGGTAAATCATACATACATATATATATATAGATATATACACATACATATTCATATGTATGAATCCCTATTCATATGAATAAGTGTTTTCTAGGTTAAAATCATAACAAGAGGTTGTATTGGGCTTTCTTTATAAGTTCAGTTCTATGATCTCATTATTTTTTTTGGCAAGAGAGTGAAAGAGAAGATTGCATTTGCTGGCTCAGCCAAACAATTTACTCTTAGGGTCTTATTGGTCACCCTGGATTAGTAGGTTTCTTAAAGGGCTCTTTAAAGATCAAGGCCACTCGGTGGAAGTGATAGCAGAGATCATGCATAATGATGTTTATTTGTCTTTATTTAGTGTGTTTTCATATATAGACTATTTCCTTTATCCATAATTAGACTATAAGAGTGAAGAAAAAAGAGAAAGGGGTCATTTATGGTAGCAATAAATTTTAGTTACTTATATATTTTCATGTTGAATAAAGTAGAATTTTTTCTCAAGAAATATTAAATCTTTGTTTTTCATTTAATGTCAAAAGAAGGTGTTTTCACAATCAAGTGGATGTTTTGCAACAATTAGATATATTGCAGGCTTATGAAAACAGTGTATGCCATAATATATGAATGGCTTTGTCAGTTAAGTCCTTGGACTGCCCCACGTAGTAAGGATGCAAGCCTTCAGATGCCTATTAACTAGTACTTATGGTTAACAGGGGGACTGCCGTACCAGAGAAGAGGCCATGATATTTGGTGTCGGACTCTGTGACAATGGATTTATGCACCATGGTAGGAATTTTTATTCTGGAAGCTTACACATCTATTTCACTCTTTTGTTTTTGTTGGAACACTGGGTATATCTCAGTACTCCACTGAAGTCATTTAGAGACGGACCAGCAACATTGCCTGGGTCATGCCATTTGTCAACACTGGGTCACCACATCTGCATTCAGTTTCATTGCCTGTGCCATCCTGTGTCTAATTGTTATTGTCTACCAGTTGCCATGACTTCTATTTTTCTTGACTGTAACTGATTCCAGAAGAGCGAGGGATTAAGCTTAGAAGTTTTCTTTTCTTTTTTTTAAAGCTCGTATACCTCTTTGAAACTATTTCAGATCAGACTCGTGGGTTTTTTTAATACTAGTATGTATTAAAATGATTAAATGAGAGTATATATGGTTAAATATTTATTGTGCTTTTTATAAAAATACTTTCAAAATGACCTCAGGGAACAAAATTATAAGTCTCTGGAAACATATATTTTTCTTTCTGGCTACTAATTAAAGATTGATTTTTTTTTTTTTTTTTT